ATGCAACTGCCTTGCCTTTTCACAAATTAACAACTGCATATGCTTATTAGATATCACATTTTTTGTAACACTGCATAATGCTATCTCCTGCTAATTGTTTTTGGTTGATCCACACTAGCAACAAATTCTCAACATCTTTGAGTATTTGCGATCTCTTTTTGGTAAGCATATCTACCCATTTTGCAACAACAGCTTCCTTGATTTCCTTTTTCTTAGACATGATGGAAGTGATCATTGAATGGGGTTTTCTATATATCCTGCTGAGTTCGGCCACACGCACTCCACTTTCATGTTTTGTGATGATTTCTTTCTTTAATTCTATCGTGTTCCTCACCTTTACCAAAGGGCTAGCACTAGAATCTTTCTTTGGGCCCATGGTGGTTTATTAGCAGTTTCAAGCACCAAAAAAATGGATTACAGTGGACCCTCACCTAACGATATTAATTGGTACCCGAGAACGAATATCGTTAGGTGAGTTTTTTAGCATTAGCCGAGGCAAAATGTTACCGTTAAAATGTATCGTTAGGCGAATTTAACGTTTTGCAATGCGTTCGTTAGGCGAGGGTCCGCTGTATTACGAAATATATCATATGAATGTGTGGAGTGAAGGTCACTCATGCAGAAACAATGCCACACTGATGCTCTCAATGTTGGTGGGAGCCTTTGTGTATGCCTGGCTGCTCCTGGCCGCATGGACGCATTCCATACGACAGACGAATTGTGAGGCAAATCACGTACCATGAGGCTTTATTTTGAAGAAAAAAGTTGCCGAAAGTCGAAAATCATGAAGTGCGAGGCTCGCAAAACTCGGGGGTTCACTATAGCACAATTTTAATAAATTATTATACAGTTTCTCCTCACTTAATGATGAAGTTCCGTTCCTAAGACCACATCGGTAACCAAATGTTTCGTTAAGTGAGGGGCATACTTTAAGATAATGGGTTTATGTCAACCATCTTTGATATTGTTTTATTGTCACCTTTGCACCATTTGTAACATTTTTAGTACATTTTTTAAATGTTTATGCAGTAGTGTACTGTATACAGTGGACCCCCAGATTACGTCGTCATTGGAATTCGTAATATTCAGAATAAGTAACTTTTTTTTTGTCAAAATATTGGCTCGGTGATCATCAGTGATCTCGGTATTAGTCATTCGTCCCGAACGTGTCCTCACGGCCTGAGCGGTCCGACACACCATTTACAACCAGTGTGCCATTATCAGCCAGTGAGGACGGTCCAGGTGTTCATACGATATATTTTGTATTCCATTTTTTTAGTGCTTGCAACTGCTAAATAAGCCACCATGGGCCCAAAGAAAGCTTCTAGTGCTGGCCCTTTGGTAAAGAGGGTGAGAAACACTATAGAATTCAAGAAAGACATCATTGCAAAATATGACAGTGGAGTACGTGTCACAGAGCTGGCCAGGTTGTATAACAAACCCCATACAACCATCTCTTCTATCATGGCCAAGAGAAAGGAAATCAAGAAAGCTGTTGTTGCAAAAGGTGCAAATGTGCTTACAAAACAGAGATCGCAAATACAGTGGACCCCCACTTAATGATCACCTCCCAATGCGACCAATTATGTAAGTGTATTTATGTAAGTGCGTTTGCACGTGTATGTTTGGGGGTCTGAAATGGACTAATCTACTTCACAATATTCCTTATGGGAACAAATTCGGTCAGTACTGGCACCTGAACATACTTCTGGAATGAAAAAATATCGTTAACCGGGGGTCCACTGTACTGGAAGATGTGGAGACTTTGTTTTTGGTGTGGATCAACGAGAAACAATTATAAGGAGATAGTGTTATGCAGTCAATAGTATGTGAAAAGGCAAGGCAGTTGCATGATGATCTCGTAAAGAAGATGCCTGAAACTAGTGCTGATATTGGTGAATTTAAGGCCAGCAAAGGCTGGTTTGAGAGATTTAAGAATCATAGTGGCATACACAGTGTGATAAAGCATGGTGAGGCTGCCAGTTCTGACAAAAAAGCAGCTGAAAAATATGTTCAGGAATTCAAGGGGTACAGAGAGGCTGAAAAATTCAAACCCCAACAAGTGTTAAATTGTGATGAAACAGGCTTCTTTTGGAAGAAAATGCCAAAGAGGACCTACATTACTTAGGAGGAAAAGGCACTTCCAGGATACAAGCCTATGAAAGACAGGCTAACTCTGTTTTTAGTAATGCTAGTGGGGATTTCAAAGTGAAGCCTTTACTGGTGTATCACTCTGAAAATCCCAGAATGTTCAAGAAACACAGTGTCATCAAGAGTAAATTGTGTGTGATGTGAAAGGCAAACAGTAAGGCATGAGTCACGAGGGAATTTTCCTTGATTGGTTTAATGACATGTTTGACCCCAGTGTGAAGAAATACCTCCTGGAAAATAAATTGGCCCTCAAGTGCCTCCTGGTAATGGACAATGCTCCTGCTCATCCTCCAGACTTGGAAGAGCAAATGGTGCAGGAGTTTCGTTTCATCAAAGTGAAGTTCTTGCCCCCTAATACCACTCCTCTCCTCCAGCCCATGGACCAGCAGGTCATTTCAAACTTTAAAAAACTGTACACCAAAGCAGTGTTTCAAAAGTGCTTTCAAGTGACCTTAGACACTGAATTGACCCTAAGAGAGTTCTGGAAAGATCACTTATGGGTAAGGCTTGGGAGGGAGTGACTTCCAGGACTTTGAATGCTTCTTGGAGAAAATTGTGGCCAAAATGTGTACAAGAGAGGGATTTTGAAGGGTTTGGGACTGACCCTGAGGAGCCTATGCTAGTTGTGGAAAGTATTGTGGCATTGGGGAATTCCATGGGGGCTGGATGTGAGTTTCAAGGATGTGGAAAAGTTGGTACCAGGAAGACCACGATGAAAAGCTAACCACTACAGAGCTGCAAGAGTTTCATCTGCAACAACAACAGACCACAACTCAGGAAATTGCTTCAGAGAAGGAGGAGGAAGAGAGATGGAGGAAGGTGCCTTCTTCAAAGATTAAGGAGATTTGTACAATGTGGACAAAGGTGCAAACATTTGTGGATGGCCATCACCATGACAAAGCTGTTGCAGGCTGTGTTGGCAACATGTACAATGACAGTGTTGTGTCCCATTTTAGGGAATTTTTAAAGAAATGCCAGATACAGACCTCTCTGGAGCACTTTTTTGAGTGACAAGTATCCAGTGACTCTCAAGCTGGTCCTAGTGGCATTAAAAAACAAGGAAGGGAAGTAACCCTGGAAAAGAATCTGGTACCTGAAGTCTTTATGGAAGGGGATTCCCCTTCCAAACAATAGTACACCTCCATCCTCTCCCCTCCCGTCTCATCGCTCATCAATAAGTCTTCAATAAAGGGAAGTGTCATTTTGATATTGTTTTATTCTGCATGTCTCATTATTTTCTGTGTAGGGAAATGTATATTTCTTGTAAAAAAAATTATTTTTTTTTAATACTTTTGGGTGTCGGGAACAGATTAATTGGATTTCCATTATGTATTTTTTATGGGGAAAATTAATTCAGAATTTGTCAGATTTGGGTTTAGTCACTCTCTGGAATGAATTAATTATGAAAACTGGGGGTCCACTGTGTTGTAATAATAGAATAGAGGAAATTAGCTCTTATATACATTATTTAGGTATGCATATTGGTCAGAGAGCCCGTCGTAAGTCCGAGTCATTGGTAAACGAGTACATTGCTAAGTGAGGAGAGGCTGTATTGTCATTTGGGGTCTAGAACGGACTAATTCTATTTACACTATTATTCACTGGAAAAATTACTTTGGTTGTCTATTATTATTATTATTAATTATTATTATTATTATTATTATTATTATTATTATTATTATTATAATACATATTTGTATTATTAATCTGATGGGTTAGTAACTCCTTAAAGCCAGGTCATCAGATTGACTTATTTCCACTTGGGTCCTTTTATCCTCTCCCCAGGATGCAATCCATGCCAGTCAGCTGATGCCTTGGTAACTACTTATTGCTATGTGAACAGGGGCAGCAGGTGTAAGTAAACACGTTCAAAGTTTCCACTTATCCAGGGATCGATCCACGGTTCTTCAGTGTATGGGCCTATTAAGCCACAAACACCATTCAACATAATCATGCACTTTCACAAAGTCACACACAGACAACTCCACAAACAAGTAAACAAATGTGCACAAAGATAGTCACGGAGAAACATTTACAAACACAATGACTTACACAAATGTGCAATAAAAAAAACATTGGTACAAACCCACAAATACACAAAAACAATCTCATACAGACATAACCACAAGCATGCACAAAAACAGTCACATTCAAAAATACAAACATGCACAAACAGAATCACATACAAACAGATGAGGATGGGGAAAAACCACATATGGATTTGAAAAGACTGCAGGATTCAGTAAAATGCAAGGTTATGAAGATTGGGAAAGGGACCAGAAGACCAGGCAGAGAGTATAAGCTCTGGGGACAGAGGTACACATGAACTGAGCAATCTCTGCAGCCAGTGCTTGCCTGGCAAATCTAAGAGTGGGCTTCAGAAATCTTAGCAGTCATTCTAGGCTCTTTATGTAACACACGTCAGACCCATCTTAGAATATGCAGCGCTGAACAAAAAATAAATAAAATAAAAATAAAATCTTTTCTTAGAAACAATCATTGATGTTACACTTAAAGCTTGTTTGGCTACCTTTGTGTAATTGTGATACAAATACAATTTGATTCAGTTGCATATTCAAAAGAGAGTCATTTATAGTACAGAGAATTTCTGATAAGCTAATCTTTAAACTTGCATACTAGCTACTTTATTTGAGTCCTAGCATAAAATTTTAGGCATTATACAGCAGTATATATAGCAAGAGTAACTCATTCTGTACTGTGTTCACAATATGGTATTATTATTTAAATTTGGAACTGCACCCCCTTCATAATTCAGTGGTTTTTATATAGTGTTGGAGCTGCATTACAAATACATTATTACAATACTGAGAATACTTTGACTTTTCCAGGATGCTGTGGGGCAAGACATATTTTGGCTTTTATGGGATTCTTGGGCTTCGCAAATGTGTATGCCATGCGAGTTAACTTATCTGTAGCTATTGTTGCTATGGTTAACAACACAGCTATTCCACATGCAAACAAGACTGAAGTAGATGTCTGTCCAACACATTCTGGCAACTCCACTAAACCCTCTGAGGTTAGTTGAAGGTGCAGTACTGCCTTCTCTCACAAGCATCGTTCCATTAAAGCACCATACACTGTGATGGCACATGACAGGTTTTATAATGATATAACCCTGGGATTTTTCTTGTAGTCTCCAAAACATGCATATTCTCTTTACAGTTTTAGAAGAATGTGCCCTAAGAAGATTGTAAAAAAATTGTATGTTATGTATGAAATAAAAAGTTACAGCATTTAATAACACAATTTTGATTTCAGGATTTTGATATTTGTAAAGCCATGCTCTTTATTAACCCTGTCAGGGTCTGTGGGTTTAAAAGTTTAAACTTAAACATTTTTCATTTTTTTTAAGCAAGTTTACTTAGGTACATAACATTAGAAAGAAGGAACACTTTAGCAGGCCTACTGGCCCATGCGAGGCAGGTCCAATTCTTTTACCGGCTTAAGGCAACACCCTAACCTAGTCAGGTCTGGTCACATTCACCTAAGGAAAGAGCACGGCATCTGACCTATTAGCACAAACTAGTCAGGTCCAACTCGCACCCACCCACACCCACTCATGTATTTGTGTAGCTTATTTCTAAAACTACACAATGTCTTAGCTTTTATGGCGGTACTCGGGAATTTGTTCCACTCATCCACAACTCTATTACCAAACCAGAGCTTTCCTATATCCTTCCTGAACCTGAATTTTTCCGCAGTATGGCATTAACCCTTTCAGGGTCCATGTCATAGATCTACGGCTATACGTTGAGGGTCCAAACCGTAGATCTATGCCAAAATTCTAGCAGCGTCAAATTTAGCGTGAGAAGGCTGGTAGGCCTACATCTGAGAGAACGGGTTTGCGTGGTGTGAGTGTGCCGTAAACAAAAATTCTAGGCGCCCGCATGGCATTGTGGGAACGCCGCCTCAGTAACCTTTGTTCACTATGCTTCGCCGCAAGGCAGCTCTCGCTCCGAGGTGAATTGGGACTCTCCTCTTCCTAACTGATAGTTCTGACTCTGATGGAAGTGGAAAAGAAGAATAATTCTATGGCTTTGATCGATTAGTGACCGAAAGCAATGACCAGGATATCGAAAATAGTGCAGAAAATCCTGACGATCCTCAACCTTCTACCTCTGGTGTGGGCACATTTCAGTCATGTTCAGTTGTACCTCATCGCAAGAGAAAACTAATATTTTTGCATGGCCAGGCCTCAGACTTCAGTAATGATGATGATAGTTTTAGTTTAATATATTTATTATGCACCCCATACCCATCCTGTGGGCAGTAGTCAAAGATAGTGATGTAGACTGTGATTTTATTGCTCTTGATGATCATTCGAGTAGTGATAGTGAGGAATCATATTCACCAATGAAGCGTCAGTATATATATACCGCCACATGCGCTCGGGTAGTGTTCCCTATACAGTGCCTAGGGGACAGAGTACATCCCGGAGTACATTCCATGGCCCTACACCAGGAATAGACAGTGAAAGTGAGGATGATGTGGCTACACTTGGCATGGATAGACCACATGCATCAGTAGGTGGTGGTATTGGTGGTGATAGTGGTAATGGTGGTGGTAGTGCCATGGCCATGCATGACTCACCAGCCCAGGCTGGGACCCACGCCGCTGACTCCTCAGCTCAAGGACAAAGCGGAGCATCATCCACTACCCCACCGCAACTACAACTACAACCACAACCAGCTTATGATGTCCAGTATCCACCAGCAAACCGCATCTGGGATTGGCAGCAAAATCCCAATTTTGTTCCCAATCCCCATCAGTTTGATGACTCTCAAAGTGGAATCCTACCAACTTGTTCCCTTGGAAACACTGCAAATGAACTGGAATTCTTTGAACTATTCTTTGACCAGCCCTTGATGGAAATTATTGTCAGGGAAAGTAACAAGTATTTTGAGTACACCATGGCAAATATGATCATATCACCACAGTCAAGACTACACCGGTGGAAAGAGACAACTGTGGCTGAAATGTATTTGCTTTTTGCAACAATGATGCTTATGCCTCATGTCTATAAGCATAATATAAAATCATACTGGTCCACAGATTGGCTAATTTGTACCCCGGCCTTCAGTGAAATCATCCCAGTGAACAGGTTTATCTTACTGTTATGTATGTTGCACTTCACTGACAAAACCAGGCCTGACAGAAGTGACAGGTTATACAAGATTAGAAATATTTTTATGTAGGAGGGCCCCACTTATACGGCAGGTTAGGTTCCAGGCTACCGCCGTAAAGCGGAAATCGCCGTAAAGTGGAACACCCTTTTTTTCCACTTATAAATGCATACAAACACTAGATAACAAGTTTACACTAACATATATTAAGTTAGCAATAGAACCAGGCATCAAAAAACAATAAAAAGGTACAATACACACATAGTGCACTCATTACTTACCTTAAAATATTTATAGTCTTAATCTAGGGTGAGACAAGTAGTATTTATTGTAAGAAATCAAGTGTGGTATGTATTGTAATAGCCAGGCTACCTCACCAGGCCACCCCACCCACACATACTATTCTATGATATTTAAGCATCCCAGAGCGATAAAATGTATATACAGTTCACTCATTACTTACCTTAAAATATTTGTAGTCTTAATGTAGGGTCAGGAGTAAGTAAATGAGATAAAACGAATAAATGAGAGAGAGAAAGAATGAGTACATGAGAGGTAACAGGCGCAGAGTTATGTAAACAAACCAGGCTCCCACATCTTATATTTATGTTTATTTATTCTATTGTGGGGTGTATTTATCATCTTTTTATGTTATGTATCGTGTTTATTATATAATTTTGAAAAAAATATCATGGCTGGATTAATGAAAATGTGTATATTACCGCAATATACGACATTTAATGAGACTCGGTGAGTATTGTTGTTATCACCACTTGTGCAAGTCGTCTGCTACCACATCTCACATTTATGTTTATTTATTCTACTGTGGGGTGTATTTATCTTATTTATATGTTATGCATCGTGTTTATTATATAATTTTGAAAAAAATATCATGGATGGATTAATGAAAATGTGTATATTACCGTAATATACGACATTTAATGAGACTCGGCGAGTATTGTTATTATCACCACTTGTGCAAGTCGTCTGCTCACATCTCACATTTGTTTATTTATTCTACTGTGGGGTGTATTTATCTTATTTATATGTTATGCATCGTGTTTATTATATAATTTTGAAAAAAATATCATGGATGGATTAATGAAAATGTGTATATTACCGCAATATACGACATTTAATGAGACTCGGTGAGTATTGTTATTATGGCGTCACTTGTGGAAGTCGTCTGCTCACATCTCACATTTATGTTTATTTATTCTACTGTGGGGTGTATTTATCTTATTTATATGTTATGCATCGTGTTTATTATATAATTTTGAAAAAATATCATGGATGGATTAATGAAAATGTGTATATTACCGTAATATACGACATTTAATGAGACTCGGTGAGTATTGTTATTATGGCGTCACTTGTGGAAGTCGTCTGCTCACATCTCACATTTATGTTTATTTATTCTACTGTGGGGTGTATTTATCTTATTTATATGTTATGCATCGTGTTTATTATATAATTTTGAAAAAAATATCATGGATGGATTAATGAAAATGTGTATATTAACGTAATATACGACATTTAAATGACTCGATGTATGTAAGTTTATTTAGGTACAGGTATACATAAGTATAATTATCAGAGTATATATAAAATATGAAATAACTTTTAAAAACATTTGAAATTTTGGAGTTTCCAGACAAAATGGAGAGACTTAGTGCTTACTGAGCTCATGGAGAATGTAAACAAACAGGGTGGGGCACGGTGACCTTATTAGAAAGTCAGGTGGGGGGAGCCGTATAGTGAGTTTTGGTCATAATTTGAAATGTCCGTATTAGCGGAACGCCGTAAAGTGAAACGCCGTAAAGCGGGGCCTTCCTGTATCTGAAACAGAAGTTCAACATGTACTTTTATCCATTCAAGAATCTTGTAATTGATGAGTCTTTGATTTTGTTCAAAGGTAGACTGTCATTCAAGCAGTATATACCGAGCAAGAGGAAATGCTTTGGTATAAAACTGTTTGTACTCTGTGACTGTGACAGTGGCCTGGTATTGGATATTATTGTGTACACGGGAAGTAAAACATTGAAAGTTACCAGGATGTTATTGGGTATCTAAGGTGACGTAGTGAGAAACATGATGGCCCCTTATCTTGGTAAGGGGCATACATTATATACTGATAACTGGTACACAAGCCCTTTACTCAGTAATTTCTTGTGAGTGAACGTTCTAATCGTAAACATATGCCCAGGTTCAATGCAGGCACTCATGCTGGTGAGGTGCAGGTGTTTACTTCCAATGACATCATGGCATTATGGTGGCATGACAAACGAGATATCACATTGTTGACAACCATTCACCCTAACGAAATGCAAGACAGTGGCAAAGTTGATAAAGTGACTAATGAATGCATTTGAAAACCAGTAACAGTGATTGATTATACACAAAACATGCATTTGGTTGACAAATGTGACATGCAGATTGGCTTTGTCGATTGTGTTCGTAGGAGTTACAAGTGGTACATGAAACTTTTCTTCCATCTCATTGGCATTTCAATGCTTAATGCATATAATATGTACCAAATAAAGACCGGTTACAGACTACCATATGGTGAATTTTGTTTGTTTCTTGTCAGACAACTCATAATGAAGTACCAGGTAACAACACCTGCTATACAAAACCATCCTCAAACTCCTCAGGAAATACCTAAGTGTTTGAGGAGGGAAGGTGATCACTTAATAATACAGCTTCCTGCAACTAAGAAGAAATTTGCTCAGAAGAGATGTGTTGTCTGTGCACAAACATAACGACGGCAACAAAGACTCAAAGACACTCGGTTTATGTGCGAGGAATGTAAGGTACCACCTTGCATGGTACCTTGCTTCAAGGACTTCCACAGGCTGCAGCAGTTCTAGAAATATGTCCAGTGACTGTACAT